GGTCGTGCCCGGGCTCTCCCCGGGCCGCCCGCCGCCCCCGCGCGCGTCCATGGCGAGGCGGCGCCGGGCAGTGCGGAGCGGAGCCGCCGCCGCCGCCGCCGGCCCGAGCCCGAGGGAGGGGGGAGGCGGAGGCGGGGCGGGGCGGAGCCGAGGGGGGCGGAGCCTCGACCGCGGGGGAGGGGCGGGGGCGCGTGCCCCGCCTCCACCTGAGCCCCCAGCCCGAGCGCTCCAACCCCGCTGCGCCGGGGAAACTGAGGCTCGGGGCGGCGAGTGGCCCAGGGTCAGGCGGCTCTAGGCTTTGGAGGCGCGCCCAGACCTCACCTCAGAGGGGAAACTGAGGCTCCCGAGATGGAAGGACGTGCCCAAGGTCACCAAGCCCAGCCTGTGGGCCGGGGCCTCTGCGCGCGACCTCGGGGACGCTCTTCCCAGCGCCTCAGGCTCACCTCTGTATGGAGGTGATGCTGGTCCCAGAGACTCGGCCGCCCCGCGCTGGTGCCAGCCTCTCTCCTTTCCCCAGATGGAGATTTCCTTAATAAACGATTGCTTGTAAAGGCCACCAAGACCCTGGCTCTGTCGCCTGTGGGCACTGGACAGAGCCCCTTGAACGTGCGTGGGGAGCTCCCTGCAGAGTTGTGATCAGTTTTGCGGGGCTGGCAGACCCATGCTCATCCCCTCTCCTGTGTCAGCTTGTGAGAAACCGAGGTAGAGTCCTGCAGGAAGAGGTCTATAGAGCCATCTGAGGGTGCTGTCTACCCTAATCCCAAATGGTGCTCTGGAGCTGGGGGGGCTCCCATGAGTCTGGTGGGTTTAGTTCTCCATTGCTTCCCCCCAGAGGGGAAGCCCCTTGGGCAGGCCCCAGCGGCCCCAGCCGGCTCTGCGAGGTCACGTGGGCCTGGCCCGAGTTCCCCACTCTGGCCCAGCTCCACTAGAGAGTGGGGGAGACAGCAGTGAGACGGAGTTGGGTGAGGAGAGTGGAGAGAGGAAAGCAACCCCTAAGGAAGGGAGGGTTTGGAAATGGTGGGGGCCCTGCTGCCTGGGACCCTCTTAGATGCCCTTGGACCTCCTGAACCCTCCTACCTCCAACCCTCCTGGACCCTCTGGATTTTACCATGTTCCTGGCTTGATGTCACATTGGACAGTGACACTGCCTGCCCTCCTCCCTCTGGGACATTGAGGCCAGGAGGGTGGAGATGTGTCCTGTCAGGTCCACAGCAGGTGTACATGGAAGGCCTGCCCCCCTGCTTATCCCTTCTGACAGTGGGTGTGCTGAGCCCCCCCTCAACCCTGCCAGGCTACCCAGACCTGAGGACCCCCACGTCACCCCCCACAGGCAAGCAGTGCCAGGCTGCAGGCTGCCCCAGGCAGATGCGTGTTCTGGCTGAAGGGGGCTCTTTTATGTTCACCCTGGGAAGATGTCAGGCTGGGCCGGTTGCCAGAGCCTGGGCTTGCCGCTGTGCATGCAGAGGAGGCAGGCCTGGCTGCCGGGGGGCCACCGTGCCTGGCAGTGGATGAGGCTGATGGACCCCACTCCTGCCCGTGATTCACAAAGGATTCTGGGACTTGGGGGCCCCAACCCCTTTCTGAGCCTGGGGTCCTGGTCACTAGGTCCTGGCAACTCCTCCCCACCCATGGCCCCCACCCTAGGCTGGGCATCAGCAGCGAATTCCAGGACAGCCTCAGCTTTCCACACCCACACTGACCTCCTGCCCAGGGCAGAGAACTCTGCACTTATCTATTTATTTAAGAAATACTCATTAAGCACTTGACCCTGGGACTGAGATTCAGAGAGGGGCCCATGGCCAGGCAGAGGAGACACAATAAACACCAGGAACGCAAGCTTTCAAAGTCTCCTGTTGTCCACTGGCAGAAACTCCAGCCCGCGGGTCGCGCCCAGGGGTATCCAGGAAAGCCCGAAGCAGAAGGAACAGTGCCAGCAGGCAAAGGCCGAGGCTAGCCGAGCTTGGATGAGGAGCAGGGAGCCACACTGACCCCTGTGTAGTTCACACTGCCTGCTGCCTGAACCCCCTGGCTCCCCATTGCCTTTGGAAGAAAACTCCATGCCCCTGGATTCCTGGTTCCTGGGACTGGTGTTCCCACCATTGGAGGTCAGGCCTCCTCCCCGCTGAGCCTCCAGGGCCTCTGCCCTGCGGCTCTTGGGTTCCCTCTGCTGCCCCCTTCACAGCACTTCAGAACCCCACCCACAGGTCCAGGCCTGAGGCTGGATGGAAGCTCAGAGGCCTTTTGAGTAGGAAGGAAGTTTCTGCCCAGGGCTAGGCTGTGGCTCAGCAGTGGCTCAGCAGTGGAGCACCCGCCCAGCATGGGGATCCATCCACAGGACCACAGAAAGATAAATACAGGGACTGTGTCCACCAACAACTAAGAAACCATTAAAAATTAAGGAAAGGGAGGGTTATGACCAGAGAGTTACGCAGGAAACCCACCCTGCAATCTGCACATGTCCCAGCCTCTGCCTGGCTGGACTGGGCCCAGGTTTACCATGGGGGAGTGTAGGTTTGGGAAGGGCAACACCTGGGTCTCAGCCACACCCACAGCTCTGAGGGCGGGTGACGGATGTGGCTGGCTGCGGCACCCCAGTCTGTTTCCCCAGTGTCTACACAAGGAGGGGCTCTGGTGCTGTCCACCTGGCATTTGCTCAGGTTTTCTGTCCTGCAAGGTAAGAGAGACCAATGTCTGGGGACTCCCTCCTCCAGCCAGTTCTGCTTCGGGCTCCTGACCCCTCCACTGTGCCCGCCACAGCAGGTGGCCCCAGGCCCCTTCCTTGACAGGCTGGAAGGCATCATCCCATCCAGGCCTCAGTGCCCTCAAGATGGTAGGAACCCAGCAGGGGCTGGGGGGGCAGCTGTCCTCACAACCCTCACAGGCGGTGGGTAAGCAAAGGAGGGGCCGGAGGAGCCAGCAGCGGTGGAATCCAGCCCCATGAATGAGCCCTTGTCTGTGCAAGGCCGCCCGGCCCTGCCCCTCTGCCCACTGGGGGCTGGGACTCCTGGGACCCTGCAGCCGTTTCCGGAAGGTTCCAACCGTGCAGTTCGTTTGGTGCTGTGGCTTCACAGTGCTGCAGCCACACCTAGTAATGGCCTGGTGCTGGCCAGGACTGGCAGAACGTCTGCTGGGCAGCACACAGGGAGCACATGGGCACAAGGGCCCTGGTGAGCGGGCCCACCCTCGCCTCTATGCACTCCCCCAGGATCTGTGGACGCTCACAGGCTCACTGAGCCAGTCTGGTGTAGAAGGGATAGTACCTGGCCCCCAGTGAACCAGCCCCAAGGAGGAGGGCTAAGCTGGGCATTGTCCCCAGGTGGGGGCCATCCAGCCTAGGCGTACCACAGGCACCAGTGCCCCAAGTGGGCACCCCTGTGCACAAGTACCAGGTTCTGCCTGGGACTCCAGGCCTCAGGTAAAGGTCCAGGTGGGTCCAGCCCTAGATGTGTGCAGGCCAGGCGGCCAGGGGCCCAGGCAGGCGGGCCCCGCCACCAGCTGACCCTCTGGGTGAGGCACTCTTGTGCTCTGGCAGGCCTGGTTGGTGTGTGTGGCCCTCTGGTGGTAGTGGAGGGAAGGGCCGGGTGCATCCCAAAGCACCCTGGGCTCTAGGGCCCATCCCAGGGCTGCCCATTTGCCTCAGGAACGGGCCATGGGCCAGGGTTTTCCTGTTTCTCTGAACCTACCCCAGCCCCTGGGAGATGCCAATTTCCTAACTGACCGGGCTCCTGCTTCTCTGGGAACCTGAGAAGGGTGTTGCCCCTGCTGGCCCAGCTGAAGGGTGGAGCTGTGCTCTGGGGTCCCAGCCAGGCACGGATCTCCCCAGAACTGCTCACCGGCCTGCTGTGGCTGCTGGGGCAGGCAACCCCTTCTTTGCTAAAGCTTTTTAGCTGTAGATGGACAGATGCCTTTATCTTGTTCATCGTTAGGTGGTGTGAAGGGCCAAACCCAGTGTCTCCACACATTCCAGGAAAGCGCTCTGCCGTCGGGCTCCAGTTCCAGCCCAGGCACCCCTTCTTGAGGTCAGGGCCCCTCACTGTGGGTACTTTGTCCTTGGCAGCCTTTGGGGCCTTGGCTTGTGTGAGGCAGGAGGCAGAACACACCTGGCCTTTTCCTCTTGAGTGGGTCTAAGTTGCCCAGGCTGGCCCCAAACTTGCGATCCTCCTGCCTGTTTCCTGAGGTAGGAATGCACCCATCAAGGCTCCTTTTCTGGGTGGGAGCACATTCAGGTGCCGTGGGCTTGTGCAGGAACTGGCAGGCAGACTGCCCCACAGGGAGCGGGAGGGAGGCCCAGCCAGGTCGCCCCTGACAGAGTGCTGCCCCTCCTAGACCACACGGGCCTCACCACTGCGCAGGTGGCACCAGGCTCAGAGCACTTAGAGGAGACAGCAAGAGGGCTGTCCAGAGCAGCCATCAGCAGGAAACCTGCAGTTTTATTTTGTGGTTGTGGGGACTGGACCCAGGGGCTTCACCACCGAGCTGCACCTCCAGACCTTTTGATTCTCAATTTTGAGATGAGGCCTCAATAAGTTGCTGAGACAGGTACAACCACTGCCCAGCTCCCAAGGTTGACCTGGCTTCTGGGTTGTTGTGCCCACACTCTCAGTACCTGGAGACTTGCAGCCCTGCTACCTGCCCTCCCTGTTCCCTGGCCCTGCCCTGATAATTGAGCTGCCCATAGGCCTCCCTCACCTGTGACCCCTGCTCGATGCCCTGGGTTCCACCCACAGGCTCCTGTCACCTGCAGTCATCACAGCCAAGGTGAGCTCGAGGCGGGGTGGGGTCAGTCTTTATTGTAGGGTTCCCACCCAGCCCAACACTGGAAAGGGTGCTGCTATCCTCCGCTGGAGCTGGGGAGTTCTGGAGTCCCATCCTCTGGCACACAGACATTGGGAGGGGGTAGGGGTCACTTGGGAGAGTGAAGGGGTCACTGTGCAGGTGAGTGGGTAGGTAGGCAGGCCCCCTGCACCATCAAGAGGTCTGAGCTGCCACTGAGCCACAGACCTGCAACCTTCATGAAGAAATCTCCACAAAGCCCAGGGCAAACACAGAGCACTGGCCTCAGAGAGGCAGGAGACTGGACTGGGGGCTAGGGAGGTCCACCCACCCACCCACACGCCCAGGTGTGGCCAGGGGGAGGCGGACACTCCAGGGCTCCAGTGACACAGTTAAATGGTGGACACCTAACAGAATTCTACGCACAGAACCTACTGCGTCTCAACTAAACGGGGCACGCTGCAACCTGTGACAGGCTCGCTCTGGCCGAGGGTTCTCTCAGAGCTGAGAGTCTGGGATCTTGCAGACACGGGGATGGACTCCTGCTGGAGGCAGAGACGCAGACACGGGGCTCCAGCACACGGCTCCAGTCCTGGGGCGCCTGGAGAGGCAGGGGTCCCTCAAATACCAGCCCCGCCCTCACCCCGGGGGGGTCCCTGGGGCCCCAGGGTCGGCGTGCACCTGCTCAGGTGGCGTTCCTCTGGCGGACATTCTTGCCCTTGTCGTTCACGTGGTGACTGCTGCTCTTCCTGGGGAAACAGGGCAGGGCCTCAGCCCATGGGGCCTGGCTGGAGACCGAGCCCTCCCCAGCCCACCCCTCTCAGAGCAGCACCCTGACTGCCTGGGAGGCACCCACCAAGGACCCGGGCAGGTCTGGGTACACACCTCGGAGCCCCCAACACTCCCCCAGTGAGCTAGCACTTACAGCGGTGCCGCGCCTGCGTCGTCATCTGTAGGCACAGCCAACGTGGGAGAGAGGAGACGGGCATCAGGAGAGGTCTGCACAGCACACCTGCAGCTTCCCTCGGGGCTCACCAGAGGGGCCAGCCACCCAGGGTCCCTCCCAGGCAGTGGCCGTGCAAGAAAGCTGGCACTCCTCACCTTGGCCAAGCACCTCAAAAGCACTGTGGCCTGGGCCTTGCCCGCACCCCGGCTAAGGACAGCAGCACGGGCCCTGTGGCAAGCATGCAGGCCCACACCTGGGGTAGGGTGTGCAGGGGCCACTCCCAGGGCCGCTGCCAGGTGGCAATCAGGGCGCCTGAGGCTACGCCATGCAGTCAAAGGCTCACCAGGGCCAAGATCCTCAAGGCCCCCAGCGGTCAGAGGTACCTGAGGCACCACTTACCGTGGAGGATGCCAGCTTGAGGCCGAGGGAGGAGAGAGGGGCAGTGAGGCGTGGCAGACCCCGCCCTCCCCAGGAGCTCCCTGACCCCCAGGCTCCTGGGGCTGCAGCTCACCATCCAGGGGCTCATCGGGCTTCCGCCGCTTCTCGTAGATGAAGATGATGGTGACGAGCACCAGCACCTCAGCCACGATGCCCAGGAAGGGCCAGAGGGCGGCCAGGCGGCTGCGCACCCGCAGGGTGATCTCGGCCTTCTCTTGGCCCTCCAGGCTGGTGCCATTGCACACATAGGTGCCAGGGTCGGTACCCATGTCCAGGTCCTTGATGCGCAGCTCCGACTTGGCTTCTGAAGAACTCACGTAGAATTTGCTCTGGGAGCCGTTGGTGATGACCTAGGGGGACCTTGTCAGACTGGAGGGAGAGCTCTGGGTTCCCACCCGTGGTCCTGCAGCCCTGGGTCCCAGTTTGGGCCCTCACCTGGTAATGGGAGTTGACCATCTTGTACCAGGCCCAGTCGGTGACAGGCGGGTAAGACTCTGACTTACAGACCAGAGTGACCGCTTCCCCCTCATTGGCATGCTCAGACTTCTTTGCAGCCTTGATATGGGGAGGCCCTGGAGAGAACAAGGAGAGTCCGACACCCAGGCCCTGCAGAACTGTTCCTGGGCTCCTGACCCTGCTAACACCCCCCCCCCCCCCCCACCGAAGGGCATGGCAGACTACCCTGGCCCAGGCCCCATACAGGATGCCCTGTGCCGAGCACTTACCCCTCACTGTGATCTCAGCCCTGCCCACGGGCTCAGGGAGGAAGACACAGAAGTACCTGCCAGAGCTGTCCTCCATGTTCACCCTGCAATTAGGTAGGAGTGAGTTTGGTCTTCATGGCCAGGCAGCCCTGCCCCCAGGAACTGGGGCCTTAGGGTGCCTGTGGCTCACAGAGGGTTGTCCTAACCCAACCACCACAGTCCTGTCAAGACTGTGTGCAGTGACCCGCCAGGGAGGCCCTCAGGAGGGGACGCAGACCAGAGGCAGTCAGGGACCCACTTAAAGAGCCTGCTGTAGCTGCCAGCCCTGCCTGCACTCATGGTCCGTCCGCCCCAGTAAGCCTGACACAAAAGGCCCAATTAGGGTAATGCCCAGCCATGGGGCAGGCAGAGAGGGGCCCCAGTGCTTGGCTTCTGAGGCCTCCACTTGTGCACAGGGCCCCCAAGAGCACCCTGAGGACACAGTGGCATCTGTATCCCCAGTGTTGGGGTGGTCGGCCTGCACTGCCCCCACACCTCCGAGGACACTCTGGGATCCCGGACCCTCTGGACCCCGCTGGGCACAGGATTGCTGGCAGCAGCCCCTTACTCACTCAAACACTGTCTGCAGGTCAGGCAGGACGTCCTCTTTCAGCACCTTGTCACCCTTCACCCACTGGTGGCCAGTGACCTGGGTGGTGCTGTGATTCAAGGCACAGGTGAGACGCATCTTAGAACCAATGTCCTCCACAGTTGTCATGATGGTGCCCGCTAGGAAGCCAAGTAAGCTGGTCAGCACACGACGCAAGGACCATACAAGCCACCAGTGTCCTCACTGCAGACCAAGGCCACTGCCCGATCCAAGGAGCCTCTCCTGCTGCTGCAGCGCTGACCTGAGGCACCTCTGCAGGCATCTGACTAGCTGAGCCCATGATACCCCCAACAAAGGCCTGGCCTTCGCAAATGAGGAAAGCACGGCTGTCCAGGGCACCTGCCCCGCTCTGGGGCACTGCTGGGACCCTCACCCCAGCAGAGCAGACCTCCTGGCTGGCTGCGACACACCCTTCAGGAATCGAACCTGAAAGCATCTAGAACTAGAAGCTGAGAAGCCCCCAGAGGTTCTGGAAGTCCCGCTCCTGGGCTGAGCACGGCCGTGTGGATGCTCAGTGTGGCCACGCAGTGGCAGGTCCCGACCCACTGGTCAGACGCACAAGGGAGACAGGCCAGCCAGGGTGCAGGGGGCCGGGCAGGCACTGGAGAGCAGGGCAGGCAGATGGATGGGACAAAACAGGGTGCAGAGACCGCAGGGCAAAGGGCAGGCCTGCCTACTCCTGCAGGCCACCCCAGGCCCGCGGAGCAGCAAGCCCACCGTAACCGGAGAGTCCTGGGTCCAGGTAGGAAAGGCCTTGGTGGGGAGTGGGACGGAGAGCTGGGTGGGGGGCATCTGGATGCTACGGAGCAGGACCCAGGGGCCGGGTGGCACAGAAGGACAACTGAGGCAGGCACCCCGGCCACTCACGTTCGAGGACCACCACGCTCGCCTGGGCACGGACCCACTTGACCCTGGGTGCCCGGGTCAGGTGGTTGCGGTCGGGGTCGTTGCTGGCCCGGCACTCGTAGGTGCCTGCATCCTCCGTGGTCAGCTTCTCGATGGACACGCTGCTGGCCGCATGCTGGCGGTAGGTGGCGTGGATGTGGACGCGGTCCAGCCGAGCGCCATCCCAGAGCTGGGAGCAGGTGTCATTGGGACCGTTCCCTTCAAACCACCACTGGATCTCGGGGACGGGGCTGCCCACAGCCTGGCAGTGCAGTTCCACACGGCCCCCCGCCCACCCCTCTTGGGACAGTGGAGACTTGATGAAGCCAGCTATGGGGAGAGGGTGAGTGCCGCTATTACTATGAGGGAGGAGAATCGAGGGCACAGGTCAGCGCTGGCTGGGACACCCACATCACAAGCCTGGATGCACAGCGGCCAGGGCCTTCTGCAGCGAGCCCTGCTTCCCTCCAGCTTGTGCAGGAGCTGGGCACAGCTGGGTGGAGAAGAGGACACCCGAGGCCCTAGAGCCACCGGGGCTCAGCCTGGCACGTGCCCACCTGGGCCAGGTCCTCACCAGAGACAGCACAACGGCGAGGCCACAGATAGCTTCAGACTAGACCCGAGACTGGGAAGCCAGAGGCTGTGACTGAGGCCTGTCAGAACCCTTCTTATGGCCCTCCTAATGGGGTCCCACAGGCAGCACCCCACTTCAGCCTGGTACCCTCCATGGAGAACACCTGCACTACAGAGCCTCCCAAGCGTGCACAGGTCCTCTGCCCCTGCGCTCTGTTTGGCCTGCCGCGGAAGGCAGGCACTCCTTCCCAAGGACACACTCAGGATCTCGGCGGGGCAACCACAGCCAGGCAGGCATGGAGAACAGCCCGCCTGGTGGAGGGCGCGGGGCTCAGGACCAGCCACGCTGGCAGGAAGGGGCCTCAGTCCCCCCCACTGGTCACCTGCAGGTTCTTTCTCTGAAATGGGACAAAGGGTCTCAGAACTGTAGAGTGGCAGGACACCCATGCAGGCTCTGATACTGCCTAGGGCAAGACTTCTGCAGACGCACAGGCAGGCCCTCTGCTCTGGGGCAAGGCAGGCAGCTGCCCCACAGCTCCAGGGACTGGGCAAGATGCCTGTCCACCTGAGTGGTTTCAAGGCCCGCAGGGCAGCAGATGCAGAGTCAGCAACTGTTGGCACTGCCTCTATTGTGAGAAGATCACCTCCGGGTAACCTACGTTCTGTGGGAGACGAGATTTCCCTGATTGCAGAACCAGCAGCTTGGGGCAGAGTGGGAGCAGTGAGCCAGGGCAGGAAACTCTGCCTTCCCGCCTGCGGGCAGGGGGTTCCTTGGCCTGGGACTGCTTCAGGGCTCAGCCTTCCTTCACCAAGGGCTTCAGGGCAGTGGCTCCCAAGCTACCACCTTGGCTCTTGGGCCTTACTCTTCCCTACCCTAGCCCCACCTCTCCACCAGGTGCTGTGGATGTCTGCAGGACTGGGCATGGCTGCCTGGTCTCTGGGGACACCTGGGCCTGATAGTCATGCAGGGAACCAGAGGGAACCAGAACATCTGCCCTGAGGGGCCTCTCTGCTTCAGTCTTGGAAATGTCGGTGTCTCTTGGGAAATGAAGCCAGGATTCATGCACAGTCCTGTCCACATTCCCTCCAAGTGGCCTCAGACACAAGGACAGTGCACCCTATGGCTGCCTTTCACTGGGCAGAGCTTTGGGGGTGATGCCAGCACCCAAGAGAGAAGCCAAGGGGAGCTTCTGTTCCTCCACTACCCGCCCGGAGAAGGCAAGTCTAGATCCTGCCATGTGATCTGCAACCCACTCCAGCACTCACCTTCATCTAAAAACAGCCACCCTCTCCCTGCCCACTTGCAATCGGGCAGGGCATAAGGCCAGGCCACTGCAGGGTAAGCCGTATATGGTAGAGGGCCCCTCCCAGAGAGCACAGAGTGGCGGCCCACGCCCAGCTTCCCTCCTCCCCCACAGCAGAGCTGCCAGGACTGGGGAGAACGTGCTGGGAGGCTGGCTGTGGGCATCAAATGGCTAGCATATCCCACCCCAGGTGCCCATCTCGGGAGGGTCCCAGTGCCAGCTTCTGAGGAGCAGGCTGGCCAGGAAAAGCTAGCATGGTCACTCAGAGGAAACGGGTGGAACCCCCAGCACCACAAAATGTAGGAGCATCCACTCTGTGCAGGGGGGTGCTCTGCACCCTGACCCTCAGGCTCTGAGTCACTTCAAGGGCAAAGCCTGAAAGTCAGATAAGCAAGCACAGACACATCCCAGGTGTCCCTGCACACCTCCCACACCACAGAGACTGCCGGGGCACAACAGCTCCCTGTGCCACTCAAGGGAGAGCAGGGGGTCTGCCAGCTGTTCAGCCTTCTGCTGGCATAAACCTGCTTAGGCTCTGGGCAAGGCGAAGGTCCTCTACCCACTTAGCCACCGTGGCAGAGCACTGAACCAATCCAGGCAGGGCCAGTGGGGCTTCAGCCCCTCCCCACCGCAGTTTATCTTCTGCATTCACCTTGTGGGGGCTCCTATCTGTATCACCCAGAGAGCCAGCCTCACTGGGGGACTAAGGCTTTTGCCTGGGAGGAGGCCAATAAAGGGCCTTTTTGATTACAGACAAGGAAACGCTAAAGTGGGTCAGAAGCACTGGTGAAGCTTCTGCTATTGGCAGCCCCCTTCCTGGCCCCTATCCAATGCCCTGTCATCTACTGCTCAGGCACTGCTGCCTGGCTACAGCCCTGACCCCCTTGCAGCAGACCTTGGGTTTTGCCTTCATTTCCTGTGCAATGGATCTTAATCTAGTGCCAAATAGGGGTCTCAAAAAAAGGAAGAAAATTCCCCCCATGAAGCAAGAATGCGGTCTTGCTCTTCTGGAAAACACCCCTTGGCCCTCTTCCCAGAAGGCCCCCGTGTGCAGCACTGAGCACCAATGCCACCAAGTCTACCAAAACAGCACTTTCTGCTTTAACCGGGGAGGCTGAGGCCATGTCCCTGCTGCCTTGAACACCTGACTCCCCTCCTAGGCCTCCATTTGCCCACTCGTCAAGGAGGAAAAGGACTAGACACCGTCTCACTCTACCTCAGGTCAGACAGCATTTGAGAAGGCAGTACAACCAGACTCAGGAAGCATGCATGTGTGCCAGATGGAGACAGGGTCCAAATCCCACCAAGAATGATAATTCCTCCAGGCCCAGAGCCGACAGTTCCAGGGCCATTCCTTGCACGTGGTCCCAGCTTCCACCTGGGCACAATAGCTATTTTCCAGATGAGTGCCAAGGTCCCAGTAGCACAGGTCACAGAGGTGCCAGGGCTGTATGCATACCCAGGCAGGATGGGCCACCATGGATGTGCCCCACAGCGTCCAATCTGTGGACATGGGTTGGGCAGGCACTGGACCAGCCTGAAGCCCTGATTCCAATCCAGAGGGGCTCCTCAAAAGCCCTGAGTTGGGGGGCAGGGATGGTGGCTCAGCAGTAGAGCGCCTGCCACACAGGAGCAAGACCCTGAGTTCAATCCTCAGCACCACATAAAAATAAATAAGTGAAACAAAGATACTGTGTCCAACTACAACTAAAAAATAAATATAAAACAAACAAAAAACCCTGAGTCGGGTCTCCCTCCCCTTGCCAAAGGCAAGGCAGGTGGCCACCGCCAATGCCTGAGGCACTCTTCCAGGACTGATCCTTCCCCTACCGGGTCAGACAGGAGAGCTCACCTCCAAAACGTGGTGAGAGGTTTTGCACCCACACATCCAGGCAGGGATACTGGGGAGAGCGCTAATGGCACTGTTACCCCCAGGAACTTCCCAGGGTCTTTTCCTGCTTCCAAGCACCAGCAGGATCAGGGGCTTCTCATCTTGGCAGCACCCCTCCATTTTGTCCCCCTTTTGTTGAGGCTCCCTGAGGCACGAGGCCGCCCTTAGCCCAGGGCCCCCAAACCTCGCGACGTCACCCCTGAGCGCTGCTGTCCCTAGGGGTGCGGACCCCCAGCTGGAGACCTCCTTCACTCCATCTCCCCCAAATCCTGGGTTGCTGCCCCGGTACTACTACTGTCCCGTGAGGATCTCCAGCAGCACTTCTCCAGCCCCATCCACGGGGCCCAGGGCCCCCCAGAATACCCCCTCCACTCCCATTCCCCGAAGGACCCCCTGAGAACCCCCAAGGTCACCCCCGGCGGGGGCCACTCCACTCTCGTCCCCCAAGGACCCCCTCAAACCTCGGGGACATCGCCCGAGGCACGGCAGTACCGCGAGAAACCCCAGGGTCACCTCTCCCCCGGGTCCTCGGGGTGGGGACTCCAGGCGGCGTCCCTCCTCCAGTCCCAGCCCCTCCACACACACCCCGGGGACCCGCGGACCCGCCTGCTCCTCACCCGCCGCGGAGGCGCCCTGAACGCCCAGCAGCGCGAAGCCCAGCACCAGCAGCACCGCCGCCATGTCGCCCGTCGTCCCCGCTCCCGACCCTGCCCTGGCGCTATAAGTAGAGCGGGGAAAGCTGCCGGGCGCGCGCACGCCAGTGGCGTCACAGGGCGGGGCACGCCGGACGCCACGCCCTGCGCACGCGCGCACACGCACGTATGCCGGAGCCAGCCCGGCGGGCACCAGCTACGGAAGCCTGGCCGGCGGCAGAGCAGCAGCACGTGACCCTGGGGGGCCGCCGGGGACTTGGGGGTGGGGCCCAGGGTGCCCGGAGGTGGGGCGTGGCTGCTCGCTTCCTGCTGCGTGTTTTCCTTACTTATTTATTTCTGGTACTGGGGGTTGAGCCCCGGGTGCTTAACCACTGAGAAACACCCCCAGCCCTTTTTGTTATTATTTTTTTGAGACAGAGCCTCACTTGCTGAGATTGGCTGTGAACTCACTGCCCCAGCCTCCCAAACCTCTGGGGTTATAAATATGCAGAGCTGTTCCTCATTTTCTCCTACCAGGAGCCTTGTTCTTCTTTTGAAGCCAGATTTAAAATTAGGTAGTCAGTGTAGTTAGGTAAATGGGGTCTAATATCGAGTGAAATCTAAAATGGAGGCCATGCTGACCATGATTCCGGGAAACACAGGACAACTCATGGAATGTTAATGAAGTCCCGGAAAGGCCCTAGGCCAAAGTCCACCCCAGAGAAACCCAGGAAACAGCCCCCAACAGATTTGGAGATAGCCCATCCCAGAGAAGTGATAAACCCATCCCCAAAAGTGATAATGAAGTCCTTCCTGCCCAGATTACTTGTTTGGCCCACCTGTGTCCTAACCCTTCCCCCTCGCATTCCATCATCAAACCTATAAAAAGGGGAGACAACCGCACTTCCACCTCTTGGGTCCCCTTCTTCCTCCGGGAGAAGTCTTTTCTGCTGTCCTTTAATAAACTTCTGATTTCTACTCTGACCTTGCCTCGGCGTGCTCTCTGGTGTTATTCTTCAACATTGGGGAAGCAAGGACTCGTTCCGTCACCGGTCAACAGCGGTAACACTTTCAACAGGGATGCTCCATACCATGCTTGCTCCGTTATTTGTAAAGGTTTCAGGTTGAAATTGGTGAAAATGGCACATTTTTTTGATATAAGATAGAAGTAAAGCTTTTGTGAATAATTTAAAAAGGTAAATTTTAGCTTATTTTTGTTTTTCTTGCCTTTTTTGGAGGTATGATTTATATTGTGTAAATTGCATCCCAAAAAAAAAAGAAAAAGAAAGAAAGGCCGGTGCTAAGTTCGGTGAGAGGAAGGTCCCTTGCCTCAGCAGTAGCCGATTGGCCCTCAGATTAGACCCAGAGGGAGAGCAAATTGTTTCTCGGCGTGTTTCCTGTACAGGTTTTGGGCCATCACACAAAGGAAATTTAGATCTAACTGGCTTCCAGTTCTGTGTTTTCTTTGGGAACCCAACCCTGGGGACACCACGTGCAGGAATAACAACAGATGACAGAACTTCAGACAGCCATTAGGGTGGGCTCTACCTGGCCTTGTGGGAGTAGCTGCTGGTCCCCAGAGAGGACAGATGGCTGCAAGAGAAGGGACCCTGCATCAGAACTAAAACCCTTCTTTTTCTTTCTCTTCCTCCTCCCCCCCCCCTTTTTTTTTATGTGCTGGAATAATCCCAGGGCCTCTCACAGTCTCAAAAGCAAAAACTTCTGTTCTTCCAGGACACCAAGAAAGTGAAAGACAGTCCATAGAAAGAGGAATTATTTGCAAATCCTGCATCTGATAAGGGACATATCTAGAGCATATAAGGAATGTGATTCAAGGGGCTGGGGCCGGGGCTCAGTGGCAGAGCGTTTGCCTGGCATGTGTGAGGCACTGGGTCTGATCCTCAGCACCACATAAAAACGAATAAAATAAAGGGTTTGTGTCCATTAAACACACGACCGTGCAACACCGCCCCCCTCCATTCAATGGTGATTTAAAAATGGGCCAAGGGGCTGGGTGTGGCTCAGTGGTAGAGCCCTGGCCTAGCAGGCCCCAGGCCCGGGTTCCTCTGCAGCACTGTGAAGAATGCATAAGATAAAGGGCGCCAAGGATCTGGATCCCAAGGAACCCTACAGATGCCAGAAGGCACCGTGTGTGTGTGTGTGTGTGTGTGTGTGTGTGTGTGTGTGTCTGACTCAACACGGTCAGCCCACAGGGAAACTCCCTCAGGACTGTAGCCAGGTGGGATGGGGCTCACTGGCCACTCCCAGGAGGGCCGGGGTCTGAAAACCAGATGGTAGATCTGGTGAGAATTCAAAGCTGGGACTTTCACACTGCTGCCAGGGACACAGGCTGGCACAGCCACCGGGAGGCAGCCCAGAGGAGCCTAAATGCACTTCTGTTTAACCCATGTTTGTTTTTTTTTCTTTTCTTTTTCTTTCTTTGTGATGTTAGGGATGGAATCTGGGGTCTCCTGAGTGCTAGGCAAGTGCTAGCCACAGACCCCCACCCTCAGCCCCTGCTCAGCAATTCTCCTAGGCATGTACCCAAGAGCAGCGAAGGCCCGGTTCACACCCAGACTCCGGCACCCACATACACAGCAGGCAGCACCCAGCGGCCTGGAGCATCCCTGGGTGGGCGGAGGGACACTCTCAGGGCGGCCGTGTGGCACCTGGCCCGGCAGGCCATGTCAGAGGTCAAGGCCATGCATCCTGGGACCGACCGGGCCAGGATGTCAGAGGAGCAGGCCTGAGTTTATTAGAAGAGGTCGGAAAAGGGGGAGTGGGATTCTGGGGGAAGGGAGACCGTGGACCCTCTGGGGAGGAGAGGGACAGAAGGTGCCTCCAGCCCTCCTGTAGCAGGGCCCATCAGACCTTTGGGTTCCTGTGCCCAGAGCCTTACCCCAGGGAGGGAACTGGACTCTGAGGACAGGCAGACCTGGGTCACTTGCCTGTGCTGACCTGGTCTGATTGAAACTTGTCCTTACAGATTTGACAGCTGGGGGCTTGGGGTCTCATTCCCTGGCTGAGTCCTGGAGTCTGGTAAGATCCTGAGAGTCCCCTTTGGGGACTTTGTGCTCTTGCAGGCAGGTGCTTTGCTAAGGAATGTGGCTCCCAGGCAGGGCCAGAGTCGCCCCAGGCAGATGGCTTCCAGAGCACGTGTGTAGACTCACACCTTTAACTTCCTGTCCCACCATCCAGGTCTGTGTCACCTGCAGGTGGACCTTGAGGGTGAGAACCAGGCACTTAATGGGAAATGACCAGAACAGACCAGTTCAGAGATGGGACATGGGTTCGTGGGTGCCAGGGGATGGGATGGGGGTTGGGGGCAGCTCATTGGAACAGGCTTCCTGTTGGGGTGATGGGATGTTGTGAAGCCAGGTAGAGCTGAGCTGCCCAGCTGCCCTCGAACTTGCCACCCTCCTGCGTGGCCCCCAGGTCACCGCAACCACAGGTGTGGCCTCTGTGCCTGGCTGCGGGGTGAATCGGTGAGACACAGCTCGGATAGAAAGCTGGGAGAAGCCCGGGGGCAGAGGCCATGTCGGTGGCACTGACCCTGGAGGCCACGGCAGGAGGGTGGCAAGTTTGAAGTCAGCCTGGGCAACTTCGACCCTGTCTCAGACAGACAAACAATTAAAAAGGGCTGGGGGAGTAGGTCGGCGGTGGGGCACCCCTGGGCTCCATCCCCTGTACCAAGAAACAGTGGGAGATGTAATGAGGTATCGGTGCCGGCTCTTGCCAAGAGGTGGGCGACTCCTTGGAGGGGCACGTGAATTTGCTCAGGAGTGGCAGGGAAGGGCATGTCCACGGGAAGGGGAAGGCAGCACAGGCAGAGGCCCCTGGGGAGCAGTTGCTTCCAGGAGGAGGCTAGGCAGGGTGCGGGGTCTAGGGGCCCCGACTCAGGGCGGGGACTGTGGAGGTTCCCTGCACACAGTGAGGTGCAGCTCAGGAGCCTGGGAGCCTTGAGCTGCCCAGAGCCCAGGCAGGAAGCCTTCAGGCTGGAGAATCACAGGGGGTCCGGAGCTACGTGCAGGACGGGGAGGCCAGCTGGCATCAGAGCCCTGCAGGTCACAAACAAGGCTGGGCTGCGGAATTCCTGCCCTACCCAGCCTCCGGCAAGTCCAGCCCTGGGAGGTTTCAGGGCTGCCAAGAAGCCTTGGCCTTTGTTCTCCAAACAAAGCCCACACCAGGCCACCTCCAGGGCTTGCTCTGGCCCCTCCCTGGAGCCACTGCCCTGAGCCACTGCCCCGAGCCCTGCTCAGCAGGCCAGCACCTGAGTCCCTGCTCTGCTCTGTCCTGGCCCCTCTGCCTACCAGGGACAGACGGCATGGCAAGGGTTTTTAAGATACAAACGGGGACACCCAGTTAAACTTGAAATTCAAATTAAAAAAAAAAAAATAAATGAAGGTTGCATTTTGTTTTTTTACTCATTCCCTCCAGGGGCTGGGGGGCCCTGCCCGCTGAGCAATGTGCTGCCCTTGGACTGCGGCCCGGGTCCAGGCCACTGGTGTCCAGGGCACTGGTGTCCAGGGCACACGTGCAGGGGCACCACCACAAGTCGTGGCTGCTTTTATTTCTTTATCTATTCATGTGCGGGTCCTGGTCTGTGCTGAGGACAGTACAGTGGAGGGCAGTCCTCGCACTTTGCCCTTTCACTCCTGGCCTCCTGGCCATCGGGCTCCTGCTTCCTCCAGTGCCCTCAACCCTCTGTGGGAGAGCCAAGGGCCAGATCTGCTCTCTGGGGCCCACACCCTCCCTGGAGAGACGGGACCCCAGGTCTGGGTGTCCTCCCCCGTCTCTGGCTTTGGGTGCAGCCTGTGAGGACTAGCAGGACTTCCTGGACTGGCCTCGAGAGGGGAAGGGCGCTCGCCTAGAGAGGCCCCTTTCTGCTTCCCTGTCTCAGGGCTGGGACACCATGGGACACCTGTTCCTGGTGGGTCCTTCTGCATTCAGTCACCTGCCTCCAGGGAGGGAGCTGGCCACGTGCTGCTGGACTTCCCCCACCCCCCTGCACATCTGCAGCCAGCCCCTGGCTCCTGGGCTTCTGTGTTCTGTGGTGCTGGGGAC